AAGATTAGGTAATCGATCCTACCTTTGGCATTGTAGATTGGGACGCATTAATGAGACAAGACTGTCTAGACTCCATCATGATGGTTATCTAGATTCCATGGATTTTGAATCCTATGGGCTTTGTGAGTCTTGTTTGGCTGGTAAAATGACGAGAACCAAGGTTGAGAAACTTGCGAGTCAAAGAGCCAATGAGTTACTAGAACTCATTCATTCTGATGTTTGTGGGCCTTTATCTACTCAGGCGAGAGGAGGATACTCATACTTCATTACCTTTACTGATGATAAGTCCAGATACGGATATGTGTATCTTATGAGACACAAATCCGAGGCATTTGAAAAATTCAAAGAGTTTAGGAATGAAGTAGAGAAACAACTTGGCAAGATGATTAAGACACTTCGATCTGATCGGCGTGGCGAATATCTGAGTCAGGAGCTTCAGGATTATCTAAGAGAGAATGAGATTCTCTCACAGTTGACGGCTCCTTACACACCACATCAAAATGGTGTGTCAGAGAGGAGGAACCGAACCTTGTTAGACATGGTACGGTCGATGATGAGTAGTACGAAGCTCCCAAAATCGTTTTGGGGATTCGCTCTGCATACGGCGCTACACCTACTAAATAGGGTTCCGTCGAAATCTGTTCTGACTACTCCGTATCAAATATGGAGGGGCCGGAAACCCAACTTGAGTTATCTCAAGGTATGGGGTTGTCCAGCTTATGTCAAGACCCTAGCACCTGCAAAGTTAGGAGCTAGGAGCACGTTGTGCTACCTTATAGGTTATCCCAGAGAAACTAAGGGATACTACTTTTACTACCCTGAGGAACAAAGAGTCATTGTGTCCAAGAATGCTAGTTTTCTTGAGGAAGACCTTCTTTCTCAAGAAGATAGTGGGAGTAAGGTAGAACTTGAAGAAGTTCAAGACCTACATGAACAGATAGCGGAACCCGAGTCTGTTGATCAGGCGATGCCTCAACTAGAGGCCGTAGACACCCAGCCCCGTAGGAGCACTAGGGCTAGTCATCCACCTGAGAGGTACGGCTTTGTGATTGAGAATCAGCAGACTGTTGAGGATGACGAGCCTGCTTCCTACACTGAGGCAGTCAAAGATGTTGATTCCTCAAAGTGGCAAGAAGCCATGGAATCTGAAATAGATTCGATGCATCAGAACAAGGTATGGACCTTGGTTCCACCACCTGAGGGAATAGTTCCTATTGGGTGCAAGTGGGTTTTCAAAAGGAAGACTGATGCTGATGGCAACATCCAAACCTATAAAGCTAGGTTAGTTGCGAAGGGTTACCGTCAAAGACAAGGAATTGACTTTGAGGAAACTTTCTCGCCTGTTGCCATGATCAAATCTATTAGGATCATGCTAGCGATAGCCGCATATTATGATTATGAAGTTTGGCAAATGGATGTCAAAACCGCCTTCTTGAATGGTTTCTTGAAGGAGGAAGTGTATATGACACAACCTGATGGTTTTGAGTCCAAAGGCCAAGAGCATATGGTATGCAAACTTCAGAAGTCAATATATCGGCTTAAGCAAGCTTCCAGGAGCTGGAATCTTCGTTTTGATGAAGTTGTTAAGGATAACGGATATCAAGAATGAAGATGAACCATGTGTCTACAAGAAGGTTAGTGGGAGTGCTGTTGTTTTCCTTGTGCTATATGTAGATGACATATTGCTCATTGGAAATGACATTCCCATGTTACAGTCCACAAAGGTTTGGTTGTCAGAGAACTTCACCATGAAGGATATGGGAGAGGCAGCCTACATACTAGGTATTAAGATCTATAGAGATAGATCCAAGAGATTGCTGGGATTATCCCAATCCATGTACATAGACAAGATGCTAAAGAGGTTTAGCATGGAAATTTTCATCCAACACACAAGACTAAGAACCCTAGTTCTTGACCACCTTCCATCTTCATCCTTTCCTCCATTGTTGCTCCCTCACCTAACCTCAAGACACCATTTTTGTCTTGAGAAATTAAACCAAACACTTCAAACCTCCACCTTGTCATTGCCTAGCAAGCATCCAAGGAGAAGGATGACTCAAGGAGAAAAAGTTCTCACAAGTGATCAAGATTCAACCGTGTGGTCAACATTAGAGGATACCATATACTTTGATGTCATCGAGTGAGAGGAAATTCTAAACACTATGTATGTCTTTAAAGGGGTAGATCCTAGGCATGAACACGTGAGGAACATAAAGAGTTTGTTTTCCGCATTGAAGACAAAGAAAAAGTTTTGTTTTCACCCTCATGTGTGCACACCATGGTATGACCAAGGTGCTGCCTTTTTAACTTTCAGTATGATTAACCAATTTCATCACAGGCACAACATCATCACAACATCATTATTGAGAGACTACCTTACCTAAAAACATAAACCTAGTACAAATAAAAAAAAAACATGTTGGATGTTCCGCATTTTAAGATGAGCTGAGCAATACAAGTTTCATATCATTTGAAGATATCTAGGAGGGTATAACATCACAAAGGAATGTTTGAGGATGTCTAACTAAAGGGTTTTAATCACCTTTGAAACCTCTACAATGAGCTAGCCACATAATATCTCATGGACCCTAGAATCCTAGATACACCCAATTCCCCCATCTACGCACGTGGAAATTGTATCTAACCTCCTAAAACGAAATTAATGAGTCACCAACCTCCTAATCTGAATTTAGTTGGCTAGCTTTGGCGTTAGTAACTATAGTTAGTTCTAACCTAATAATAAGTTGTTTAAGGGAGTTAATCACCTAAGCTAGGCATAACAAGGCTTATTACTCCACAACCAAGATTTGAGACCTTTATAAGCATTTGGGTCCCACTTTCATGAAACATTCTAGTCATTTGCAAAATTTTGAGAAAGCCTTCAAGTGAGAGACAGGAAACATGAAAAAGTTGAAGAAAGATGAAGATATTTCGAGTGATTGTGGTTTGGCCATTACAAAAGCTCTGAGAGTTTCATCTTCTCCTTCATTGTTCTTTCATTTGCTCACACTGCATCATATCAAGAAGGACATTTCGCATAGCATTGTTCACCAAATCCTAAAATTGCTTCAATTTTCATACAAGAAAGATTGATAGGCACCTTGTATTGTGTTGCACTTCAAGAGGTGATCTCGTTCCTATTTCTAAATCTTTTGCATGGATTCTGGGTTTGTAATCTTTGTTAAAGTATCTTGAATTGTTTGTTTTGGCCACTATTTTGGTCGTGACACCATTTAAGGAACTTTATGGCCGTGAACCTCCAAACCTCTTAAAAGAGGGAAAGCACCTTCACCGTATTGAAAATAAAGTGACTCAAACTCTTGCAGGAGAGAGATACAATTCAACAAGAACTTCAAAATTAGCTTGCTAAGAAACAAAATCACATGAAGCAATTTGCAGACAAAAATAAAAGGATGTGATTTTTGCTCCTAGAGATTTAGTTTATCTGAAAATACAGCCTTAGGGAAAAAATATTTGATGAAGATGGTAAAAGAGAAACTTAGTCCAGATTTTATGGATCTTACGCTGTTTTGGAGAAGATTGGAGAGGCTGCCTATAAACTTACACTTCCCGAGTCCACTAAAATCCATCTTGTGTTTCAGAACTAATGCAGCAAGTCAACTGGAAGTGTTGATCAAATGGCATCCTCTTCTAAACTTTGAAAACACTTGGGAACTCTACTCAACAATTCAAAGACACCAGCCTTTCACCTTGAGGACAAGGTGAAGATTTTGGGAGGGAGTATTCATAAGAAGCCCATAAAAGTCTAAACTAGGAGGGGCCACAGGGGATTGGACCCTCCTCATGTTGACTTGTGAACGGAAGAAGATTTGGGAACCTTTATGGTGGCAAGGTAGAATATATATAGTATGAGGTAGGAGAATTAGAGGTATGTTATATTTATAGAATTGTGGAAAGCTTGGGCGAGTCCAAGATCTCTCGCAATCATTTTCCTTATTTCTATTTTATTTTCTTTTTCCATCTGTGGTGTACGTTCTGTTTCTATTTCATTAATATCAAAATCATTCTCAACAAGAACACTCAAGGAACATTTCATAATTTAACTCCTAACTATGAATCACCCATCAAGGATCCAATAATTCACCTTCCGCCTCCTTTCTCTTTTTTCCCATAAATACAGAAATATATAAAATGATAATAAAATCAATGAACTCTTTTCCCTATCACAATGAATAAGATACAAATTCCAAGCAATGGGATCTCCAACACTATGCATGAGTGTATCCTATCCTTCATGGTAGTTAATAATGGAGCAAACTTTTCTTTTTCTTTTTGTTTTTGTTTTTTTTTCAAGAGGGGGATTACCAATAGTTAGCTTTTTTTAGTAATTTCAAGTAAAGAAATTATTTTACCAATAGTTAGCTTTTAATAATTTCCCATAATTTTTCATATTTTCCACCCATAAACATCTTCTTCCTTACAACATTCTTTTTAACATATGACATTCTGTCAAGACCATTAGAGCGCACATAATATATATTTATTTTTCCTGTAAAATAAGAAATTCATTAAAAGAAAGAGAAGAAAATTATTAGGAATGTGGAGTATAAGTGACCCTCCATAATAAATAAAACAACAAACAAGCAAACAAACAAAAAAAGAGAAAATATCAACGGAGCAGAGCTACCCAATCTTTATGCATACAGCAAATACAAGCCAATTGCCTGATCATATCCAAAACCAACGGCTCAGCCAAAGAAATCACCTTTAAAATACAAGTGTTATCTTCAATCAAGTGCACCAAATAATAGCCTATGTCGCACATTTACAATAAAATGTTAGCCTCTTTGCTACTACAAAAATCACTAAAGCTAGCTACCAACAATTGGCATAAGGACCTACGGCAGCCAACATTCACAGAAAAGGCCTAACAATGCATTGCATAAATAAACAGAGACCAACAGTAAAACATAAAAAAAAATAAAAATTAACCTTAAATTTGCAAACATATAACAGAGTGAAGAGCAGGAACAACCTACCTGCGTATATGTCAGTTGCCTGAAACAGATTGAATCTTTACTAAACAGGGGTTTTCTTGGTAGTCAATGACCTTCCCTTGTTTCTTGGGGATCTTGACATCTGTTGTGCACTCTCAACATCTTTGTGTCCACCTCGCATTTTTATTCTGCTAGAACCTTCCAAAGGATTTTTCTTCCTGGTCTCGTGTCTAAGCTTCCCAGCTGATCTTTCTCTCGGAGAATCTCTCAAAGGCTTGTTAACATTAAAGTTCACTTTCCCAAAGTCTCTGCCTCTACCACTGGCAGCAGTTTTACGAGTACCTCTCTGATACTGCTCTTTACCATCATCGACATCAGTTTCACTAGCATCCTCAGCTTCAGAATCAGAGGACTCACACCTCTCCCCTTTGTGTTCCTCCACATTGTTCTCATTATCCTCTCCCTCTCCTACTCTCCCTTCAATTTGTATGCCATTGGACTTTGGGCTGCATTTTCCTTGCACCACCTTACTTGTTTTGCTATCTTCCTTAACAGTGTTCATGAGGTGAATATACTGACTCCTTAAATTCATCAAGGGATGATGTTCAATCAGTGAACCCCTCTTGTAACCTTCCCTCAGAACCACAGTGTAGGTTCCAATTTTACTAGACAGATAAAATATACCAGGATGCTGCAGCAGTGCCCTCTTAAACCTCGACCTTAAACCCAACCACTCTCCAAGCATTAGTACATTATCTTTCTCAGTCTTCTTAGGAACTAAAATATGAAGAATTTCATGCAAAACACCAACAACCCACCTATCAGATTCATCACTTGTAGCCGAAAGATGAGCTGCATTTTCATACGGAGACACATAAGGCAACTTGTGCCATTCCTTCAACCACTTCTCATACTTGTTATCCATCTCAAAACCGCTAGAAAACTGAACAGGGAACATTAATTCCTTCCCTTTCACACTACCCATTTTCCCACTCGCCAACTTCTTCTCCATAACCGAAACAGCCATTTCATTGCTCCAACAAACCAGCTCCAAAACCCTGTCATATCCACCAACAACTCGAAAATAATCCGGAAACTCAGGAATCACACTCTGAACGTAATCCTGAGGAAGACCCAGGTCCCATTTCAAGCATTCAATGACTCTTAAAGGGATCTTATGCATCCTTGATATCATCAAGAGCTTCAAAAGCCGGTCTGCGACCTGTTGCTTGAACCCATCGCTCTGATACATCAACTGCTCCTCGGTGTCGACGCCGAGGGCTTTCGCGGTGAGCCGGATGTGGGGTTGGAACCCGCCGCCGGGGAAGAACTCTTCGAAGATTGATGGGTACTTGCGGATGAAATCGATGGAGCGAAAGGGTAGTTCAAGGGATTCTCTGATGACGGAGATTGGAAGGGACTTAGAAGGTTCGAGTTTGATGAGGTTCTTGAGGTTCCACAAGGGTTTGAGGTTCTTCTCCCTCTCCACGGCATGGTCCAGACCACGGTCTCGGACCAATTTGAAGGTGCCTTCGAACAACGTTCGGATATGGTGTTTGCGGGTAAGAGGCTGTTCGTTCGACATGGTTTTGTTTCGGGAGAAGAGGATCATGAACCGCATTGCTGTGGTTTGATGTTTTCTTTTTTGTCTATCACCCGGGAAATGTGTATATAGGATGAGGTTGAGGCGAAGAGGGTTTTTTGAGTTTTCGGAATGATTTTGATTTAGGGTTTTACATTTTCATCTTTCTCCATTTTTATTTTTATTTTTGTTGAACATAGTTTTGATTATCTTAATTTTTTTTTGGGAAAATTGGTTACAACAAGTATTACTTAGCTGATATGGTTTTAAATTTATCACTCAATTGTTGGTTGTGATTATAAAATATATCACATCCAAGGTCTAAAATATTCTATTGTAAGAATTGTATTGTTAAATTAGGAATTTATTATTTTTATGTTACATAAGATAGAATGTATTTCCTATACATACAAATTCAAGATGGGTCTCACTTTATTTTTTATCTCTCCCCTGAAAGTGGACTTCACCTGCACAAATGAGTATATAAGAGATAATACTTATCTCTTACTGCATGAGAAAATTGTTACCCTTTAAATTATTTAATTATGAATTTAGAAAATAATTTCATAATTGACTTTGGATAAATATGGAAAGAGCATAATAATTAATACTAAGTCACTTATCAGAATGAAGTGTAAACATCAAGTATTTCACGGTATAGATGGATACCGGCGAAGTAACTCAAAAAATAATGAATATTCCTAAAAAAATATATAGGTTAAGAATAACTCGTACCGCTAAATTAGAAATTTAAATTAGGGATTTATTATTCTTATATTATATAAGATAGAATTTATTTCCTATACATACAAATTCAAGATGGATCCCACTTTATTTTTTTTTCTCTCCTAGGGTTGGCAAAACGGGCCAACCCGACCAACCCACGTTCAACCCGGAAAAAACGAGCCGGGTTAGGGTTGGCTCGAAAAATAAACGAGCCAGAAAACTCAATCCAACCCGACCCGAGTTGGATTAGGGGTGGCTCGAAAAATTGGAAAAAAAATAATATTCCATTTTTTTCTAAATTATTAATTCATTCAATACAAAGACATTATACAGATAAACTATAAAAAATTACTTTTGCATTTGGACTTGGACTTATTAGCAGTTGGCACCACATTCACACTGTCACACATATTATAAAAAAGGTTCTTAATGCACAGTTTTGGACTTATTGACAGTTGCAAGGTATTTTCATTTGGGTCTTTGGGATTGGGATTTTAGGTTTTAGCTTTCCACTTTACCTTCATTAATTTTTATACTTTTATATTAAAAAAAAAATCATAACCCGCGAGCCAACCCGTTTGATCCGTGGGTTGGCTCGATTTTTTTCGAGCTGAAACGAGTCGGGCTGACTCGAGTTACTAACTCATTTTCCCTAACCCAACCCGACTCATTTTAGCCGGGTTACGAGCCAACCCGACGAGTTGGCTTTTTGCCTAGCCTACTCTCTCTCCTGAAAGTGGACTCCACCTGCACAAATGAGTATGTAGGAGATAATACTTATCTCCTACTGCATGAGAAAACTGTTACCCTTTAAATTATTTAATTATGAATTTAGGATATAATCCATAATCGACTTTGGATAAATATGGAAAGAGCATAATAATTAATATTAAGTCACTTATCAGAATGAAGTGTAAACATCGGGTATTTCCTGGTATAAATGGATACCGGCGAAGTAACTCAGAAAATAATGAATATTTCTAGAAAAATATCTAAGTTAAGAATATCAAGTTTAGGGTAAAAATAATAAGCGGTGATGTCAGAACTAATATCGGCTATTTCGTAGTAGAAAATACGTACCGGCAAAGTGTCTAAAAAAATTATAATAAAAATATGGCAATTCCTAGAAAAATGTCTAGGTTAAGAATATAAAATTTTAGAGTTAAACGAAAAGCGAAACTAATTAAACTAATATTGTTATTTTAAGCAGTGTTATTTTCGACGGGTTGGCCCGGAAACCGGCCCATCAAGTGTTATTTTCGACCGGTTGGCCCGGAAATCGGCCCATTATAACACTTTGTATTTCTAAAACGTATAATTATATATGAAAATAAGGATTAAAGGGTAGGATTAGTGAAAATCCTGAAATTAAGGCCAAAATACATAGGAATGGTAAAACGGTAATTAGCCAAACACGTAACCCTAAGAAAGTAAAATTGAGTAGGAGGTCTCAAATGAGAAAACTAACCCTGGAAATGGATTCAGAACGAAAAATTGAGTGGTTAGGCAAGTTTATAAAAATTCGGTGAATAGTGTTTTTACCGGGTAAAAATATTTCGGTACAGTTGCACCGTAAAACGTGCCGAATGAATTTCGAGCTCTAGGTTTGGATATAAGCTATAAATCATACATAGGACTAGGAAATATGATTTCTCGTGAAAATTGATGGAAATTTGTGTGTTTGGGGAAGCGTGCCCACAACGCACAATGCACATAACAGCTTAAAAGTGCGATTTCTCCGAACGACCAGAAAACTCCGGATTCATCTGATCAAGGGAACTTAAAGGACAATGATTAATGTAAAATTTAGAGTTTCTAAATAGTTTATAAGCTGATGGAAGATTAGTGGTGAATTTAAGTGAATTTAAGTGAGGTGGCACTTGTGGGGCCCACCCCCACGTAAGTGACTTATGAGCACATCTGAAAAATCAGATTTTTGGATCATCTTCCTCCTTCCTCCTTGCAAATTTCGTGGCCCTCCATTGTTGGTGAAAAAGAAAAGCTTGAAAACTTTAAACCAACATAACTTGAGTTCTAGGGCGTGGATTTGAGTGATTCCAAAGCCAAACTTGTGTAAAATCTTGAGAGGAACACATTGCTACCCTTAGTTTCGCATGGTGATCATTGTAGAGAGAGATCATTGGCCAAAAAGGTGACAGTTTTGATGAAGATTTTGATGTTTTTGGAGTTGATTGATCCTTCATTGCTTGGGTATTGTGTGGAGGAGTCCTAGGCCTTGATTGTGGGTAAGTTTATACACTTTTAATTGGTTGATTCATTGGATTTAATTTCATGAACCCTAGAGCTTGCATGTGTGATTGATGGGGTTAGATAGCTCAAATTGAAAAATTGTATTAGATAAAAGTGGCTTAGAATGATGTTTTATAGTGATAGAAACCATAAAAATTATTGATGAATTTGGATGGTAACTTAGGAAAATTTTGTGTTGAAATGTCAACACTTTATGAAATTGATATGTTGTATGATTATAATTGAGTTGTGGAGTGTTTGTATGAGTTAATTATAGGATTGTAAGGTGTGTGGAATTGTGAAGTTGGATCGAATACCCTTTAGTTGTTGGGCTTAAAGGATTCGGCCATTTGAGAGCATGTATGGTTTGTTGTGGTAAAAATTGTATAATTGATGTTGTGTGGTTGTGTATGATATTTAAATGAGTGGTAAGTTGGTTGGATGCATGAGGTTTAGGGTTGGAACCATTGGATAGGCATAAGTGTAGGATTTGACCTATAAGGGAATAATTGGAAAAATGGTGTTGTGATGGAGTGAGATGGAAAATGGAACTTGAAATGGTGTTGTGGTATCCTTAGAATGCTAATGGTAAATTCAAATAAAATTAAGAAAATTATTTGGTAAATTTGGCCTAAAGAGGCCGAACCTATGCTTGTGGGAGGTGAGAATTTGGTGCTTTGTAGAATGTTGGTAAATTGCACTGTGTATTAATGATCCTCGTGTGATCACTGTAGGTTGCCTCCTACGGAATTGATCTTGGAGCCTTGAGCTTGGTGGGTTGCCTTTGGTCCTTGACCAAAGGGATTTTGGCATTTCTAGTAGTACCAAGCTCAGTGACGTACTAAATTGGAGCTGCTAAGAAGGAGATTAATCAGGTAACCTCTTGGTACTGGGGCTTGATCCCCTTGTGTGTTCCACCATGCCCGTTGAGGGTGATGATAGGAAGTGTATGTAAGTAATATAGGATAACATGTTCATGCATATAGTATGTGTGTTGGTACATAGGATGTACTGTCTCTGGCCAGTAGACAGTTTGCCTTCGGGCGTTACGGACTTCCACTGGATAGGTCTCCGAGAGGGAGTTCCAGTTGACCTAGGGTCGTGGTGTGTGATCCGGATAGGAGCACACCAGGAAGTCTCGGGTGTATATGGATGAAAGGGTGCGTTGGTTTGATGTTATGGGAACACGCTTTAGATGAGATCCGTAGGCTTATATGCCGAGACATTAGGCTGGACGTTGCGTGGTATTGGCATCGACCATTCCAGCTTCTTCGTATTTTGTATCCCTATGTTTCCCTGTTTCTCTAAATCCCTTGCTTTATCCCGTTTTCAAGATGTTATTTTATGTTATTTATATGCATCGAAGTGAGCCATTGGGTGGAGTATTCTCCAAAACCTCTGGGTTACTGAGATATATTCGTATATCTCACCCCGTCTTGGGGGCACTATTTCAGGAGGTAGCAGTGGTGCAGGAGCGATGGGCAATAAGCCCACAGGATGATTAGCTGGAGGATTATGGATTTTGTATTTTGGTGGCCATTGGACCTAGGCTAGACTTAGGGTATGAACATTGCATATGTATTTTGGAGGAGATTCATTGTCATATTTGTTTATGTCATTTTGCCTAAGTCTAGTTACATATGTAATTGTGAGGTCATTCTTTATGTTGTATTTGAAGATTATGAATTGTAAGTTGTAATATGTAATTGAGTAATTGTACATGGATACTTGATGTAATATGGAAGCATGTAATATGATGAAAGGACAGTAGGCTTATTTTAGGATTAAGAGTGTGTGTATGTTTAGAAAATGCATGCAAATGGACCTTGATGATTGAAATGTGTTAAGTATTAATAAAGTAAGCAATATGATATGAATTGAGTAATTTAATATAAACTGTGATGGGTTGTAAGAGCCCCAAAGCATTGTTGGTCCTTGTGTGTGCCACCCAATGATTATTACGTACATTTTAGGTCATAGAGCACTTGTACAAATTTGAGGATTATTGAAAAAACAAAGGAAACTCTGACGAATTTTCTAGAAATTGGCAGAATTTA